AATCAGGTACAGGTTTTAGCTCCATTCAGGGTAAAGTTCTGTTTGCTTAAGTCTTTAAGTTAATAAATTCAGTACTTTACTATGCTTGCAGTACAGTATTCACAGAGAATGACTCCTCCTGCTGTGTGCCTGTTCCCCATGGAGAACAACATGAGGATTTCTTTAAGTGTTCTTGTTGGATAGCAGTCTTGCCTGCAATGCCTTATTATCCATTACTTGGTAACAACAATAAAACCATGTTTTTTGTCTGTGAGGTTTTTGGATGAAGAGGCCTGAAGTCTGTTCTGGTTTTTAGTAACAGAAATCATTCAATTATTGAGGAAAGGGAAGGATTGTCTGAAGATGAGGTGACTACATGAGGGCAGACTCAAAGTGCGTCTACATTCCCCCTGGCCAGGAGCAGTTGCCTGGGGAAGAGTGCAGGACTGGGCTCAGATGTATTGAATACTTTCTCAAATCCAGCAATCTCAGGCTGATGGGCTTTGTGAGTAAAAGGCAGGTTGGTATTAGCTATCAGTCAATTTTTCTTCCATGAATTTTTCTGAGCCCTACTTGAACTTAGCTAACTTCTCTTACCTATGATATCCAAGAAAAAAAGAAGGTGGATTTAGTTTTTAACAGCATGTTACACAAGTATTTTTTTTTTTCTTTAGATTGGCTCAGTTTTTGTGGGGAGAGGCAGAGAACAGGCATTTCCTATTTGCTTTCTCTGTGCCTCTCAAGATTTTGCAGATCTCCACTGTCTGTTTTCCTGGCTGAAGATTTCTGTTATGTTCAGATGTTTCCCATATGGAAGGCGTTTCATGTTTTTAATCACCCTCGCTGCTCTGGTTTTACCTTTTCTAGAACAGAAGAATAGCAAACAACCGCACAACATCAGCAACAAAAAACCTGAATGCTTCTTCCTGAACTTCTCATGGTATAATTTTCCCAGCATTTTTAATGTTAAAGAGATTGCTTTCTGTGTTGGCTGTTCCCCAGTTGGAACATGGAGCAATATGTCCATGATGCAGAACAGTAAAATTAAGTTGTCAGTAATTCTGCATTTCTTAAAAGTGGGCAATTGATTTTCTGTAAGACTCCATGCAGTGTTTCAGTGTATTTTGCTTCAAGTTCAATCTAGAGGAGAAATGCTTCAGCTTTTCTTTTGTCTTTTACTAAGATCAATCTAAAAATAGGATTTCATTGTATTTTGATTGGACTCTACTGTGAATTTATTTTTATAAGAGAGTAATTAAAGAATAAAACATCCTGGCTAGTGGTTGCTAATTGTTTGTAACACTTCCTTCAATACAGTTAGAAGGTTTGTCTTTGAAGCCTGTGGAGATGGTCAGTTCTCTGCATACCTACTGATGGGGAGTCCAGAAATGGTGTGTCATCTTCTATTAATTAAGTGTTTGTGCTTGGATGGTGATGAATAACCTCATAGTGGTACACCACAGAGCACCAAATGATTACTTCAGGGAAAAGAAAAACAGATTTAGTATATGCCTCTGCATGCATGTATTACCTAATGTATATCATTGCCTACAACATTTCAGGACATAAGAAAGAGTAATAACTTGAAATAATGCAGCTGTTGAGTAACTTGTTATGATAGTTTTTCACAATTATGTTTCTGAAAAGGAAGTGGAGGTTAGCATATATGTGTATTACTCACAAGCTTCTTAATGGCTGGATTTTGAACGCCAAAGATGTTTTAAACTACACTTTGAAGGAAAAATAGTTCACTTTTTAACAAACTCTGTGGGAAAAATGAAATCTAAGCTGAATAAAGTGCATGTTCATGCCATGTATGACAAAGGGAGATATTGTTGAAACATTCATCATAGCTTATCTTACCAGTTCAATAAAAAGGCTACTAAAAAATAGCAAAACTGGAGTTCTCTTATCAACTGATGTGCTACCTTACGCTGCGAAATTATGTTTTGGCAGAAGAGCAAGGATCCATGATGCCAGGATGAGTTATTCAGCTTGTAGGCAGAATTTAAGCGGCCAAGTCAAGTGTTGAAGAGTTGATCTTTCTGTATACCTCATAAGTGTTAAAGTGAATGAAATGAAAGAACAACGCTAAGAATCTGAAACAAGCAAAAAAACCCCAAACCAGCAAAATAAGCCAATAATGCAGAATTAGCAGTCAGGCTGATGTATCTCAGCAGCATTTCTTTCCTTCACTCTTCTCCATGTACTAATATTTGATTACTTCAGAAGGTGCAAGCAAAGCTAAAAGGGCAGTTCAGAGATCTTCCTCAGCTTAAATCAGTGTTTTGTTATTCGCAGATATAATCATAAATAACTCCAGAAGGAAATAAAGTAATATCTTTCCTTCCTTCATGATGTCCACAAAGGACAATAAGAAAACACTCCTGAATACCAAATGCAGCTAGGATTGGAGACAGGAAAAAAATAAGCCTTTTAAAAACCAAAATAAAATACAGTAACTTGAGAGAGACTCTGAAGCAGCTCTATTTTCTCAATCTATTTCCCTAGGAATAAATGCAAATACTGGCTTTTCTTAAATCTTGGGTTGTACACTTCCTCCCTCTCTTGGAGGGAGATTCTTGGTGTTCCTTGATGTTTATTTCAAAACGAGTGACAACAATGTGTGAATCTCGATTCCAGGAATGCTTCCAATTCTCTTTAAAGTATTGTCTTTATCATGTGAAGAAATACAGCAAGTTGTTGTTATCTAAAGAGAAAAAATCGGCACAACTTCATGGATTTTCAGCTTGGGACCTCTGTACTGCATTGCCCTGACCTGCACTAGTTTTTCTATGAGTTTGCCACCTTACGTGACCAAAATAATAACATAGAAACTTATGATCAGAACCAACTAAAACAATGGTACTGTCCAAAATAAAGAGTCTAAGCACTGGTGGATGTGCCCGTTTTGCCTGGCACGCTGCTTTCGGAGACATTGATGAAGTGCAAGCTATTTTTCTGTGCTTTATTTTTCCTCTTCATCATTGGAATTATTAATTTTTAAGTGTTCATAGTTCTTCATCTGTGTATCCAAAAGAGTGTTGTGCCCAGCAGATGAGTTTCAAGGTTTGCAGCATAGATCTTTGTACCATGATTTGTTTGATTAAAGCTTTGTCAACATCAGACTCGTCATGGGGGCCATCAGCTTGCTGACACCATGAAACCAGGCTATTGTAGGGCCATTAGTCTGATGTGTAGTAAACCTAACTGGTCAGAAGATGTGCCATACCTTCCAGTTGCTGTATCTGTTTACTTTCCTCTCAGTGTACAATCTATTGTACCTTGGGACATGTATGACACAAGAGGAACAAGAGGAAAGATAAAGGCAAAAAAAAAACCAAAGCCTGATTTGTGCAGGTAGGAGCACATACAAACATTTATTGTTTATCCTACAAATGGATTCCTTCTCTCTCTCCTATTCTGCCCTAGGCTTTATATGGCTAGAAATTAAATAAGTTGTTTGGGTAGATTTCTCATCACAACTTAAACCATTAATAAATTAGTTCCCAAGATTCCTTCTAAATGTGACCATTTAGTGAATGAATAGAACAATGTTGTTATCTGAAAGAGGTAGCAGGCAGATAAATTTGGTATGCATGCAACTTCCAGTGATGTCCTTCAAAGCAGAGGCATAGCAGCAGCTGCTGTGCAGGCGGTGCATGCTGCCAGTGGAATTCGTTTCTGACCAACTGTGTACTCTTTGACTCCAGTTGCTCTGTTTGACTTGAACAATTGCGGTGTGTAAAAAGAAGGGGTGGTGTGGGGAATTGTGAAGAGGAGGGCTACACGATTGGGGTAAACATAAAGCCAGTTTTTATTCCTGATCAGGGAAGTACTTGAATCTAAATTTTAGGAGCTGAAAAATTAGCAAATGACAGATTTCTATTTTTTATTGCATGAATGACAGAATACTGTTAATATGGTGTTTTTCAGACAGCTTAGCTTTGAAGTAGATATAAATGCAAATTATAACAGCTTTTGATGGCAGAAGTGTTTTTAAGTTACTTTGCAAATGTATTTTGCAAGTATATCATTTGGCAAGCTTGTCTTTTTTATTTGTATGGGGGGTGAATACAAAAAGATAACAGCATCAACCTGTTTGGAGAAGCCTTCTTAATTATTTGACAAACAGGTATGCATCAACCCAGGATTTAATTTTTATGGGTATTGAAAATACTCAGAATTTTGAAATGTGAGTAATTTGAAAGTGTTTCGAAATATCAGGTACGGCCTTTCAGAGAACAGGATATAAAACATACTTCATTTTTTTGTTTTTCTTTCTAAACTGGAGATGCAAGACAGAAAAACACCGTGTTGGGTGTCTGTGGTGGTGTTCTGTTTTTTCAATTAGTGCATATTAAAGCAAGCTCTGTGTGTTCTGGGAATACATCATAGGCTACCTAGGAAGATTAATTTTTCTTTCTTACTTCCTAATAGCTGGTTTTGTATTATTCTGTATACTGATACAGCTTTTCATAGTCTTGGCAGCAGCTCAAGATGAGAAGTGCATTAAGTCATCTGGTTTATGTCAGTGTCCCTAGAAGATAGTTTCTTGCTATGTATTAGTGAGATCTTTCTTCCTTTAGCTAGCAGGCAGGAGCTTCCGAATAACTTGGTATTCTCTGAAAAATATTTCTTCTCAATCATGCTCAAGAAGACAGGTCTAACATCTCATTTGCTCATGGGAATTCTAAAACCTTACCTGATTTTATGCTTTAGATTTTATGCTTTATATGTGATATTATATGCTCTTGCATATAATATTTAAAATTTTATAGTATTTAACATAAGCTGTTCCACTGGGTAAGTCCAAATTCACTGAAACTTGGTTTTGGTCTGGTTAGGTGCATCTCTGTCCATGCTTCCCTAGGGTCCCACAGGTCATACAAAGGATGACAGTGGGAGCCTGAGTGAGTCATGCTTGACTGGTATCTCCCCAGGCGTGTTCTCACCCCCGCGAAGGGCTGGGTTACCCTGTGGGGAAGCTCTTTACTCAGTTGCTCTCTCTTCGTTTCCAGGCCAGAGCCTCAGCAGAAAGCTCCCTCTGCACCGCCACCTCCACCACCACCCCCTCCGCCGCCCCTGCCGGAGCCCACCCCACCAGAGCCAGAGGAGGAGATCTTGGGCTCTGATGATGAGGAGCAAGAGGATCCCGCAGATTACTGTAAAGGTGTGTGCAGCTCAGCAGTGTCCATGAGGGCAAGCAGTGTCATGCAGGTCTTAACTCTAGTTCTTGGGAGGCTTTTAAAGACCCGATCTTCAATTATGGAATTTATTGATGTAAGAATTATGAACAACTGCTTGTTTCAGGTCCAGAGGCACAACTGTCTTCAGCTTTACTTTTTCACTTAGCCATAGCTTATTTATACATTTTGCAATAAGGATACAAATATTGCATCCCTGAGAAGAAACTTTCCTGTATCGATGTTAGTTGTAAGAGAAGTGGAAACACCCAAACCAAAACAAGCGACTCCTCCACATTGCAAATGCTTCTAAAATCCCTTGATGCCTTTAACAACATCAACTACATGTATTTTTATATCTGTATCTCTTTATCCTTTCTCTCACCAGCCCAAGATGTGACATGCTTCTTTTTCGCATGTTGTCTTTCCCAGCCCTCCACATTGTCTGAGGCTCTCTTTGTTTTAGCTCTTGATTTCCATAGTTTTTGTAGTTTCTTACATTATTTTTTTTAATATCATTAAATGTATAAAAATACATAACTGCAGTGCAGCAGGATCAGTACTGAACTTTGTTTTCATGTCACTGCTGAAATTTCAAGTCTATTCCTATTAGAGTAAAACATACTGTACTTACATAAAACAATCAACTTTGGGTTATCTATTGTAGTAGATGCCAAGAATATTAATTTACTTTAGGAAACATCAAAGTTACAGCACTTCAGATTAGTGTTTCTGAACAGCCAAAAAGGTACTGTATGCACATGGACTATTCTATATTCTTCATCTCAAGACACACTTTCTGTGTTGACTGTGATGATGTCTTCTTAATCAGAAGTTTCTGTGTGAGCCTGGAGATGTGCTATTTTAAGAATCCTCTCTCCCAGCCTGGAACAAATGTTTTGTATTTTCAGATTTAACTGTTGAAATTTCATTTTGGTGTAAGAAGTTTTATTAATATGTGATATTTCAAATATTTGAATAGCTTACAGATACCGGTAGTGAAAACACAGTAAACTCAAACTAAATGTTGAATTCTGCAGCAGGAAAGAGAAAAACATGTTGCTAAAGCTTGTATTGTTTTAATTAAAAAAAGTGCTTCAAATGTCACAACACATTTGTTCCTTAAGATAACTCATTTGGTATTTGTAGCATATTCCATCAGTGATTAAGGATCTGTGGTTTAAACATCTGTTTACTTGTAAACATCTGTATTTCCCTGAGATTAAGCGTTTTAAGGCTCCCACTTCTTCCCTGTAGTAAGGGTTGCATTTAACTTCGAACTATCCATTGTTGTCTGTATTCCAGTATCTCTTGCACAATCTCACCATCTGGAGAAGCTACATCACAAAACAAACAACAAAATAGTCTGAGTTTACAGCCTGCTTATGTTACCTGCTTAAGTAGAATCTCTGTGACTAGAGCAGGTCAGTAGAGAGATCTCTGTGCTTTTAAAATGAACTACTTTTGCAGTAAGAATACTTGCACATTTCCTGAAAAATTAAAGGGAACTTCTGTATGCTTAAAGGTTCTTGTGGATTCTGCTCTTGAAGCATTGAACTGATGGAAGAACATTAAAGATGGTTCAAGCTTTGGTTCATTTGGTTGTCATAAGCATTATTTGTTTCTGTGAGAACAGTGCATTTGTTGCTCCAGTTTACCTGTTTTCTGACCATAATTTCCAGTAAGACTGGTCAGTATGTTTCCTTCTTTTAGTCTATTAGAGTTGAACTGTAGGAAAGGTCCCATAAGAATCTTGACTCGAATGGTCAGATTGGGATGATCTGGGGCCATACAGGTTTCCTGTTTGTTTTATATTCAGTATGGAGAATGAATAAGTTACTTGGTAAAGAATTCCAGGGATGGCTTTTAGATACATTGCGTCCATTAATTTGAGATGGATTTTATTAGTTTAAATGTTTTCTGTGTTTTGGGTAACCTTATCTGTATTTACAGAGTGGGTGATAAGTATTTGGAAATCATAATTTATTACCGCATTGCCTCTTTTCTTCCTAATGCTTTCTCCAAAATGACAATCTCCCAGGATTTTTGAGTTATACACAGAGCATACTTCATCTCTTCTCAACCCCATCCTAAAATTTCATAGGAGGGCAATTTTGATGAGGGGGTATGCGGTTAATTTTTTTATTAATTCAGCATTTTACCTGTTAACTGTACTTCCCAATGCTTGGGCTTTTTTGTTACTAATTTTCTTTTTTATATTTTAAGGTAAGTTACTATATGCTGGGCTCACATCTTCACCACATTACATGGTGGTTAGTAAATAGTCATAATAGTATTTTAAATCAAGAAATTGGATTAATTTAAATTTGCATCTGATGTGAAAGAGACAACTAACAGCCACTGGTGTAAGGCACAGACTAACCTCTGTTCCCTGGGGGCTTCCTCCAGGGCCTGTTTAAATCTGTGAGGTTACTTCTGTGGGTGTCACTAAATTTACATTAAATGCTGATCAAATCTTTATTTGTTTAAGGAATGGAAGTACCAAAAGTCCAACTACGTGATTTGTCAAGGGGTACTTAGACAGTGAAGGTAGTTTTAATCCTTTTCTGAAAAGCTGTGAAACACTTGGAGATTTTTCCAAAAGCCAGTTGTGTCACGGATGTAATTGGGATTCTTTGCTTCTCTGATCATCATCCTTGCCCCTGGAGATGTCTCCCATTCATCCAGTTCACAAAGGGAATAATTCCCTATACAAACATAGAACTAGCCAGCTACAATTACCAATACATTGAGAAGACATTTAGGAATAATGATCTCATTTTTCTGACCCTCTTTCTTGAGTGCATATTGCACTAGCTAGCAGTGAGAGACACTTTTTTTCTGTGTGCTGCAGTGAATAGCACAACAGGCAGTTTTTGTTACGTTATCAGCAGTGCCACTTATACATTGTATATTTTCAAATACCAATATTGTTCTTCCAAAAGTACATAATTTTTCTCAACCTGTTAATTTTGCATAGATGCTTTCTTGTTATGACTATTTAGAAATACTTTCTGTATCATGTGGAACTTAAATCATTACATTTCTTGTAGACACCAGTTTTTAAAATACATTTAAACTAAAAGTGTTACTTGGTTGTTCACAACCTGTAAATGAATATGTTGCTGACATGAATAATCACGGAGTAATATGTACAGGAATGGTGATCAATTATTGCCAAAACTGCACCTGTTATGGCTTAGAAAGTGTCTTGTGCCCATGTATATACTCAGAGAATATGCTACTGCTGTTGGTATCTGTACATACGCTGGCGTATTGCTATAATTAGTTATGGCAGTGCTATAGGGACCAAAATAGCATTGCTTGTACATATATAGTATTGTTACTCTTGTGGTACGTAGATTTTACTAGAATAACTTTATCAAGCCTCAGTTTATTAACTTGACTTTGGTGTCTTTGGTTTCCTCTGTATGGTGTTCTCTCTTCTATCTGTGATGGGAAGAAATTATCCCAAGTTTTTGATTTTTGACCCCTTGAAGCACAAGTAGACCAAAAGCTATCTGCAAAGAGGCAGCCTTATAAGGCACTTGTTTACCTCAACTATTTTTAGAGATGTATGTCTACCTGTATTTCAGTTCTTCATCATTGAGTGTTATGGTCTTAACATGTTAAAAAAAGAAAAAAAGGCAAATAATTCTGTTTAGTGCAAAAATTTACTTCTGGACATTGGTTTTTTATGTACTTGAAGGCCTGCATACACTCTTCTGGCAGTGCAGGAGGTTGTGTCAGCTGTGAGTGTTTTTATATACATCTGTAGCCACGTAACTGCCAAGGAATGATTGAACAGAACTGGAAAATTAGGAAAATTATGAAACATTCCAGAAATATTTGTACTGTTGAATTTTAAAATCTGTTTGCAAACCACAGAGAGGTGTTAAAACTAGGTGTAAATACTTTTCAGGTTTTTTTAATGATACCTGTTTGCAAAGGAGGTACAGAGAGAATAATGTTTCATACTTCTTACTGTTTTCATGCAATGATACATGCGGGACAAAAATCAAATTGGAAGAAATGATACTATTATAGTGAATTATGTGGAAGTGTTTCACATAGTTCTAGCTGTCAGGTCACCCGACCTGATTCATTTCACAAATGCAAACCTTTAAGTAATGGAATTGCTGTATGTTCTTTAACCTTCCACTCACATCCATCAGTTCATCATCCTCAGTAGACCTTTATGGAAATAATTTACCGAAGAGTGATAATTCTGTTGTTGTTGTTGTTTTAAGCCATTAAAAAGCTGTCTTAAAATATGGTTCTATTTATCCAGTTTGTTAAATATTTTCATCAACTGTTAACTGCAAAGACAGTTAAATAGACAAAATTTAGTTTTGTTTTTAATGTTTCTATCAGCATGGATTTGTGTGTGTGCATTCAGCAAAATTTCTCTAATAATGAAGCTGCAATAGATGTAGGCTTCTTACGTGGCTGATACTGTTTCTTACTGCAAATGAAGTGGGCAGCATAATAGTCAACACTTACTCTCAGTAAGTCCGTGTTCCCCCTCCTTTCCTGAAGTGTAAATCTGGTTGGGTGTTCCACAAGTGATCTGTTTTCTTTCTTTGCCAAGTGGGAACTCCTTACTTTCCAATGTTGTGCATTCTTACTTAGGTTGACACAATTCAGCAGTGGAAATGAAGATATCTTTAGGTACCTAGGTGGGTTGTCCTGGCAGTTTTTCATGAACATTTCCTTCCCGGTGGTGGAGGGGAGGGGAGTCCTGGGACTTAGTCCTAACCTGGGTCAGTATGTCTTGTACCTCCTGTAATGCCCTGTCCTGTTCCTGAACTCAGGCTGCCTTCTTCCTTTGCTCTTTTTTAACTGAAAATGTTGATGTCTGTATACCTAATGATTTGTGAAATGAAATACTGCCGTTGATAGGAAGCATATGATTCCGATGGGTTGAAGATTTAAAGGTTGTTCTCGTGCAAAATACTCATGACAAAGATGGAACTTCAACTCCTTATGCTAGGCTGGGTGAGCTGAGGCTGCACTCTGTGTGTCTGTGCTCCCTGTACACATCAGGCTCCTTTCTGTGCCTGGTGAACATGCTCGACCCTCTGTGGTGGTATAAACTGGGAGGCAGGTGGGCAGGGAAGCGTGTGAAGCCAGCGCTGTATGGTAGCTGAGACTTGAGCTGCCCATCTGCAATTGTTAGTTGCTGTCACTTGGTTCAGACTGGCCCCTGCTGAGAGGAATACTTGGGAGAGCTGCTCCCCTGCTGCTCTGGCCAGAGCTGTTTGGGTCTCTGCCAGGGGTATTACGTGCGAGAGCCTGGGCAGCTGCAGCATGTCAGATGGTCAGCTTGTATTTGAGGATGTGAGCAAACGAGCGAGTGTCTGCTAAGCCTAAAGTCACTCCTTAACATACAAATATTGAAGGTCTGTGTGTTTGAGTTTCAGTTTATACATGCCAACATCTAAAGCAATATATTACTTAAGCTTTGTCATTCTGTTGAATATGTAGTCTTTATAATTCTATTGTACAGTTGTGTTAAATTTATTAATCTGCTCTGGAAGCCTTTCATAAAAGTTCACAAATAAACTCTTCTATTAAGGCAAACTTGAGTATTTGTTTGCAATTTAGGTGAAATTGTGGATGTTGTTATTAGTGTGATACTGTCTGAATAATAGGCTTGTGTGATCACTGACTTCCCTGTGTATGACTGGGAGGAAGGATGCCTCTTAAAATACAAAGGAAACAAAAGGTTTCATTACACCTCCTTATGCTGCCTGGAAACCTGAGCTCCAGCCTGCTCTGTCCCATTGGCCTTTCTGCGAAATGGGGCTTTTGAGGACCTGTGTAGTGGTGTAAGTTAGGACTGCAAACTTTAGCAATTAAAAAGCAGTTCAGACAAAGCCCATAGCTGCCTGCTCTCTCTTCGTCCTCACTGTAAAAACCTCAGACATGAGAAAAATGCATTAGTGCTAGGGTCAGGAGCCAAGCAGAAGAGCATCAGTGAAGTCTGCATTGTTCTTAACATTTTCTCAGGAAGTATTTTATTGCTGCCTTTATTAGTAGAAAGCAAATGGGAATTAAAACAGTCTCTGTTGAGATTCTACAGTCATCCAAAGTATGTTGACTGGAGAAGCTTCAAATATGATAAAAGAAATAATGTAGATCTTTCCTGTACTCTCTATGAAGTAGAAGATAAGCCTGGGGAAATAGAGAACAGATGGTAATATTACCATAAATAAAAGCCATAAGAGAGAAGGGTGAATAAACTCTACACTAGTTACAGGACATGAGTTTTTTTCCTCCAGGCCAAGTAAGGCAGAATCTTTAATGTTGGAGTAATATATTCTTTAGATTTCCTATTTATAGTACTGGACAATTTGAAGAGAAAAATTTATACTACAAGAATTACTTGAAAACCTGGGAACTGTTGTTTGTTTTCTGAATATTCTTTTTCTCCTCATTTTTTATAAAAGGAGGCTATCATCCAGTGAAAATTGGTGATCTTTTCAATGGCCGGTACCATGTTATTAGAAAGTTAGGATGGGGACACTTCTCTACAGTCTGGCTATGCTGGGATATGCAGTAAGAAAACTATTTATTTCCATTTACTTTTTCCTTAATACACTGTTTTGTTTGGGGTATCTTTTGTTTTACATGCATGATAAAGTTATGTGAATGTTTGCTTTCTTTTTATGCAGAAAGATGTCTGCAGTCTTATTTTGCACTTGCTTAAGGGTATAGTTTATAAAAGCTCTCAGAAATAAGTGTCTATCTGTTTTCTTTGACAAATTAGCTTTGTCTTGAACATGCAGGAGTGAGCTACTGGTTTTAATTGCTTTATCTTTAATGAAAAAATAAACCTTGATCAAATGATAAAACATGTAACCAAATTCCTCTTTTAAAGACATTGGCATGAAGAAGACAGAATAATCAATAAATCAGACTGTTAACAGAGTACTGTTAGAAGGTGATTTTAATTGTAAAGTCAGTGTTTTCTGTCAGAATGTATTAGGTTAAGAAATATTTTATTCAAGATTTCCTAACTTTCAAAGTATGTCTATTTTAGTTCAGAGCACGTGTTACAAATGTTTTTGTTCTTTTCAAGGGGGAAAAGGTTTGTTGCAATGAAAGTTGTAAAAAGTGCCCAACATTATACAGAGACAGCCTTGGATGAAATAAAGTTGCTCAAATGTGTAAGTATCACCCTTGCAATACAGTGCTCAGTATTGATAATAACAGTAAAAATGAATTAAAAAATGGAACAGAATACTGTTTTTAAACTCTTTTTGCATATTTTTTTCTAAATGTCTGCTTTATTATGTGTTGTTGTGATTTCTGAAGCTCCAAAATAGTGTTTAACTTCATGTGGAAAGCTAACTAATTAGTATTTTAAAGTGATTTTAGCCCTAAAATATGTTTCCATTCTTGGTTTAGGTTCGTGAAAGTGACCCTAATGATCCCAACAAGGATATGGTTGTGCAGCTGATTGATGACTTCAAAATTTCTGGAATGAATGGAATTCGTATCCTTTTGAAAACATGGCATCTTCATTAAAACTGATCTGCTGACATAAGTAAGCATTTAGTTTGGCTATTTTTCTAGTTACTATTACTTTAAATATACATTAACCTGGATGTAAAGAGTAGTCCAGTGTGTAATGCAGTGCAAGTAGCTTAGCTTTTCTGAACACATTGCAAAATAGAAAATTCTCATGAATCCTGTTGTGTTCCGCTAAAACTAGAGATAGTTCGTGTAAAAACAGGAGTTTTACTGGAAACATTTGTATAACTGAGGCTTACAGGAAATGTGTTTTGCTTTAGGCTGGTAAAGAGAAAGTAAAGTGTCAGTGTCATGAAGAAGCTGGTACGTATTTTCTTGTGGGAAGTGTGAGGGCATGGAGATTCTCTTGTTTGTATGAGCCTCTTTTGGCCAGGTGTTACCCTCTTTTTTGGCACAGGTTTTAAAGCTTTGTCTTCAAATGCTTTCTTAAAAAAAACAGGCAGGGGGAGTGTTGGGAAAGGAGAGACAGAGTAAAATGTGGTGAAATATTGTTCTTGGGGAAAATTTTGGGTCTATGAATGCGTTTGATTTTAGAGTTGAGCTAAAGTGAGTTTTCCTTGCTAATTATATTAGATGTTTTAGCACCTTAATGTATTACTGTGCTTTCATTTACTGTTACAGCTGGTATTTATGTGTATGCTTCTTGCATCTTGGAGCTCTAATCACAAACCTCATTGTTCATGGTGTCATACTATCAGACAGTGAATCAGTTCCTGCTCTAGAGAGCTTAACACTGAGTTGATTTTGGTGATGGGCCTTCAGTCTTGAGCACATCAGGTTAAGGTTCTCTTCATCTGCTCTCATCCTCTAGGAGGTGACTATCAGTAAATCTGAAAGCCCACTAGAAAGCATCCTTTCAGGGAGAGGCATGCAAGCAGTTTTTGTCTCATCCATCTGTCTCTTGACATAAATTATGAAGCCTTTGGGTTTGTGATAAGTGAGGATGAGAGTGTGGGGACAAGTATTCTCAGTTACAGAATGGCATCTTCACTGCTTTCCCTTTGTCCCATTTTGATTTGTTTCCTGGTTGCTTCGGTGGTCAGCTACCATGGTAGAAATGTGCTCGAATGTAGGTGAGGTTAGTATAGTCTGCTTATTGCCTAGGTTTTATTACCAAATTAAAATCATACAGTTGCCAATAGTCATGTCAGCCTGAATATAAATGGTTTGTGATCAAGGAAATTGCGTAACACAGTGAGGCAAAGAACCCTGGTGAGGGTTTCTTGGTGCTGCTGTTGTGCTACAAAAGAGTAGGTTTTAATGTATGAGCTGAACTGAGATGCTTATTAAGAAGTATTTTACAGATCTCTCTATTTTGTCTACCTGTTCACAAAGAAATAATGCGACCAAAGCTCTTCAGGTCTTTAGCTGACAGCTGTACAACTGAGGGATAATCAAAGTTATTTTTAGAAATCAGAAATTTTTACTTGCTGTTTTCTAATATGAAATAGGGAATAAGAAAATGCATTCATAGCTATACATAGAAATAACTCCCATTGTCTGTTTAGCAGAGCAGTTTCCCAATAATGTTCTTAAACTAAGATTCACAATTATGTGTATGTCTGTAATAAAGGTGAGAGCCATTTCTAAGTATGAAGAGTAAATTTTGTTGGTGATGATATTTTGAAAGCATATCGAAACTATATCTTTTTGAAATAAAGAATTTAAGTTGACAGAGCCAAAGAAGACAATGTACTGGTGAAAAATAAGGGTTCAGATAGCTTTGTGTAACCAGCTGGACAGCTGATGTTGATCTATTTTATTTCAGTTTTATTTCATGTTGAAAACTCTTGACAGTACACAAGCTGTTTTATGTGGAAGGCAAATGTTCCTGCCTTACTGAGAAGTACATTTTTCAGAAAGGTACAGTAGACAGGGTGGGTTGACACTGCACTCAAATTGAAATTACAGCTGGAAGTCTGTCAAAGTCCTAGCCACCAGTGAAAATATGGTATCAAGTATCTTATGCTTTGAGTTTTCTTGTGAACAGCTTGTGCATACCGGGTTGCATTGCCAATTTGAGCAGTGGTTGGTTGCACTGATGATTAGATCAACTCCTTTTTATCTTCTACGAAAATAATCTTTGGTGCAGGTTCTTTCGGGAGGGAGCAGGTAACTGATTTTAATGTTTTGTTGCTAATCGTTTCCATTTTAAAAATACCATATCAGTGCTACATTAGTGCTACTGAGTTAAACAGGTTGAGAGAAACATGGTGATTTGAGAGTTTTTCCATGCTCTGCTTTTTCCAGCTTCCTCTGGGCAAGTCACTAAATATCTGTTCCTTGGCTGTAAATTAAAACAACATATGCTTCATAGAGGCTAGATCATTGGTTATGGAATACATTTAAAAGTTAAAGCAAGACAGAAGAGAGGTGGGTGAATCCTTTGGATGGCTAATACTGCAAAATGTCGTGGAGCTTCCAGACAGGAAAACTTGTCAAGAGCTATGTAGCACAGAGCTGGGAACATGCAGAGTCATTGGCCTGCACTGTGTGTCTGAAAACAGTCATCTTTCTCCTAGGAGCTGTAAGAAGTGTTTATATACAAAGGGATTTTAACAATGTGTGTTGTGCTACACTAGGCTGGTAATTTTTTTAAGTACTTGAACATTTTAAAAAGATTGCAATTATGATTTTTTTTTTTCAGAAATAACAGAATTCCCAAACTTGGGCACTTTGGTGTTTTCAGTAAGTGTAGATTATTGTTTGTCTGCACTGGGTATTTATTAAAGCCTTAATATACTTTATTTGAGTGTAGTATTTTTAAAATAAATATTCAGTTAATCACATAATGAAACAAATATTTGGAGAGACAAGTAAAAAGATAAGGAAGGAAACATTCCTGACACAATCAAACGTTGTAATAATTGCAATAAACTTACCTCCAAAGAATATACAGCATTAATTATATGCCATAAAGCATAAATGCTGACAGTCCAGAAGCAGCTGAGATACATCCCAGAAACTTTCTGTGTTGGTACCAGAACCTTACGTCATTTAACTAGTCTCTAACCCTCATCAGATCTCTGAGTGCTTCTGTAACGTGTGTTTATAGATAGATAGATATTTACTGGTAGGCTTTTAGTCAAGAAAGAACAGTTTTAAATACTTAAGCCTGTCAGCTGATTCATGTTATGTTTGCTCTCACTTTTGCTGCTCTGCTCAATTTCCCCCTTTCAGACATTTCCCAAACCGCTTCCTAAGAGTTTTGTAAGAGGCATGTCTGCTGGGTGGGCTTCAGGTTTATTTTTGCTGGAGGACTTTTTGGACATACTCATCTGTCAGGGTATTGGTGCTGTAGGAAGATCCTGGGGCGTGCAAGGCTGGTTTCCCAACAGTTAATGTGCAGCTTTTCCCAAACACTTTGCTGTGGGCAGTCTGGCTGACAGTTAATGTTTTTCAGGTCAGGATAGTAAATCAGGCAACATTTTGCATACCTACTCCAAACACTGAGCCTCTTGTGTTTTTTCTCCCCAGTGCTGAGCACTGCCTTGAGTTTGTCTGAGTCCTCCCAGCAAAACATTGCCACCTTTTTTTTCAGGTAGACATCACTTCTCTTTCTTGTGGCCCTCCTCTCTTTGCATGCCTCTGCCTTTCCTCCTTGCATCTTCCTCCTTGGTGCCCTCCTCTTGCCTTTCAGCTATGTCCCTGCACCCCTTTGTCTTCTGGTTGCTGGCACGGCATAGCGCTTCCCTAAGTGCGAGGAATGGCAGGAATGTGCATTGGAGAGTCTGCAGCAGCAGTGGTCTGAAGGGCTGTGGGCGGGTGTCCTAAATTTCATCTCTGAATGCTGCAGTGTCTTGCCTTTCTGAAATCTGTTGTGTTGCTGTAGCATTGCAACTTCACTGCGTGGGCTAAGTTAATAAGCCATGCAGGGGCTAATGTGCTCTGCTCATGCTTTTTGATGGCTGTGTCCTCTACTAAGTGACTTCTGTTCATTGGGTGCTTGTATAGTAAAGTAACCAAGACTGGTTCCTCTTCTGAATGGAAGAGTTTTATAATATTCTGAGTGGACTTGATTGGTACGATTGGGGAATGACTATTCGCTGTCTCTTTTAATACAGGAATTAAGGAACATGAAGGGAGACGAAAGGTAGCAGCAATCACAATGTTACTGTCCTTCATAATGTGTTTAGACTGGTCTTGAGACCTTTTAACTTTGGTCTAAATCCAGCATAGGGGATGTAGATTTTAACTTAAGTTAGCTTTATGAATATAGGTAAGTACTTGAGAAGAATGTAAGTGATAGATTGATAGACAAGGTAAGTCTCATTTTGACAGAAGTTAAGACAGTGACTGTAAGATCATAGCCAAGATGTTAGCTAATAAAACTTAAGAGAAGTTAGGTAAGATTTCTCCCCTAGCAGTGTGTAGTTCCTTACAAATGGTCTCTGAGATACAGTCTAATTTAATCCATTGAGATTTTCCTGCAGTATCCATCAATTCTTTTTCTGTTGTTTGTTTTACTTTATTCTTTGCAAGGTTATAGGATCATGTAGTTAAGATTTTTAATGTTCTTTCTTATTTCCAGCGATGTCAAGGTCATTCGCAGCTCATGTCTGAGGATTAACTTGGTCAAATCATTAAAGTCTTTCTGGAATGTTATGGCTGATAAAACTTAAAATTAGCTTGAATATCTGAATACTTTCTCAATAGAAAGATAACCTGCCCAGATATATTCAGTGTAGAATCTCTATCTTAGGAAGCCCTTGAACCACAGATCAGTGGAGGTGCCTTCATCTAGTTTTTTCCTAATACTTTTCCCTGACTGCCTCTGTTGGGGACCAATAGTAGATGCTGGGTGAAATTAAACTTTTTGGTATTACGTTTTTTGCATGTCGCTTCCGAGTTCTGCCTTTTCTTTGTTCCTGAGTTCCTTGGTGATTGGCATGCTCTGCAGTTAACACTGTACGTGGTAAGAAATCCATTCTCTCACTACTTGAGTCTTTATTGTCAAGTGATTCTTAATTGAGCCTAATCAGAAAGATTTCTGGTATGGTTCATTTTCTAAAACACTGTTGCTGCAGACTTTTGTTGTTAAAAGTCTATTCATATCATTGAAAGTTTATTAGAAGCTAGACATTATAGGCCAAATCAGTACTTCTCACTGTTTCAAAGAAAACAAAAATGAGTTAGTTATTTTCTAGAATTACCTATTTCATTGTTCACCCTAATGATGGTGTTAATATGCGGAAATACTTGACAAGATTTGTATAATTAAAATGCTTCATTTGTTTTGCATTTGGGCACTGTTCTTATATACAACATGTACAAGTGCAGTATTATACCAAAGTATATTCTGTGTTCTGTTCGTTTTAGGGGGAAGTGTTTACCAGGGTGATGATTGCTTTAGCCAGTACGCAAACAGACATTTGTGTTGATCTCATCAACAAGTTTATTTGGAAATTATCCTTAATTAAATCCCAGATGTCTGTATGGTCTTCGAAGTACTTGGACATCATCTCCTGAAATGGATAATCAAATCCAATTATCAAGGCCTTCCCATTCGTTGTGTAAAAAGTATAATTCGACAGGTAAGATTTGCTGGTGTTCTAATTAGGTGTTTCTACCACTGTTAACAGTTTGAAGGTTAGAATGGTGGTATTTCAACTGAGCTCTTACTGATGAATAGTTGAGATAATTCTGTTGCTAATCCTGGGGAGGTTTGCAAGAGCATCTTTCTGGATAGCCTGCATTTCTGCATGCTGTGGGGCTTTTTTGTTTGTTTGGTTTTGTTTAAATCAAGGTTTCCCACTGAGAAGTTTCCTGAGCTGCTCTAGGAAATAAAAAGTTGAAGCAGTAAGTCTTTTTCGTAGATGAAAGGAGATTTGTGTTCAGTTACAGTTTTGGTTGACACATCATGCTTCTTGATAAGATCTTCTGGAAAATAAAATGTCAGAACAGGGAGAGATAATATTATTATTATAAAACTGAACAAAAATTGTATCTCTGAAAAATATGTTCGAAAAATATGTTCGTTTGCTATATTGCGAAAATAAAATTTCTGAGAGGTGATTTTAAGGAGAAATAGTGTTCAGCAAGGAAAAATCATACATACCTCTCTGATTTTGCATAGAGTGTTAATCCATCAGCAGTTAATACCTACAAATGATGAGTGAAGTATTCTGGCACTTCAGTAATTTGTATTGCCTTTCATCAACATTACCTCTAAATTAATAAGTGATCTGTTAAACTAAATTTCTTTGTAACTGTTACTGCGTGTCAACTGGTGAATATCAACCTGTCAGCTCTTCATCAGAATTAGCTAAATAACAATTGGATGAGGTTGTTACTATACAGTTGAAATTTTAGGTCCATTAATACCTGTACAACTAGGTGGCTCAGATACTATAAATCAGGAGTTGTAGTAACTGCTCCAGCAGAACTGAGCTGCCTGTGAAGAAAAGGGAATGTGCATATTTGTGTCATACGTGCATATGCATATCCACTGGTTTTGGTGAATGTTTGGTGAATGTCCACTGGGAATGTTTTTACATTGGTTGCACTTCTGGCCAAAACCTGAGAAATTACAGTGTAATTTCTTGATACGCTGGGTTTAGCAGCAGTTACGCTGCCTGTAAGCCAAACCACAAACCCTTTTTGGAAGGAAGGTGAGAACTTCTTAACCCAGCTTCATGGCATCTTTACCAACAGGCTTCTGTAACATAGCAGAGGAGGACTTTCAGGTGGGATCTTCAGGGATGGTGACCACAACCCAGTGAGAAGTGGGATCAGCAAGGACAGGGGCCTTAAGGACCCCCAGTAAGGGGGAGGCTCTCAGTGATTTCTGTGATTGTCATGACTGTGGGTCTTGACTCAAGTGGTATATGCAGGTACATACAACATGGACTGGTTTGTTCAGTTTTAAAAAGAAAAGGCTAATAAAGGGGGAAACTTGTGATCTCTTCAACACTGAAAATGGAGCCAGACTTCTCTTGTTGATACATGGAGATAGGACAAGCAGCAATGTATGCGAGTTACTGAAAGAGAAGTTCTGGTTACATATTAGGAAGAAATTCTTTGTAGAGTGGTAAGACACTGGAACAGTTTGTCTACAGCGTTATGTAGTCTATATCTTAGAAGATAGAAATGAACTGGATAAAAGCTCTTGAGCAGACTGGTCTGGTTTTGAGGTTAGATACAGCTTTGAAGCTCGTATGACTTAGGGAAGGTTTGGATCACCCGATCTTCCAGCCTAAATTACTCATTGAATGTAAGCAATGGTAAAAATTCCAAGTAATTCAAACACTTGATATGTGAAAAAAGAGGAATGTGTTAGTCCTGAAAGATTAAAAAGGTTTTATTTTTGTGAGGGTGGAGTTTGTGAGTCACTGTTTTGGACTAACGAGAATAGCAGTAACTGGTAAGACTTCCAGGTTGTTCATCTCATTAAAGAGAATACAGATACTTATTCTTTCTTCTACTCAGACAAAATTTGTGCTACACATGTTCTAAAAGCTTGTGAAACTTGAATATGAAACAATTAATGCACTGGTATTACTGTACAGCAAACCATTTTGTTTCAGAAAGTACTATAATTCCATGCTACAATTGAAAAGTAATTTTTTAATGCTATGATTTGGAAGATTTTATTTTCATTTTTGAGTACTTTTGAGCTTTGGGTCAAAATTAGGTTTGTTTTAAAATGCAGCTGAGGGTTGAGTTTCTTAATGAGAAATTTCATTTTGGTTTCTAGCAAGTTTTTTTTCCCCTGGGGTAGAGTTACATGAACTGTTGTGCAAGAGAAGACCTTGTAGAATTGAAAATGGGGCTAGTTGCTGCAGTGCCTTGTTTGCAGTGGAGATGATTGGAAGAGTCCATTTATTTAATTCTGGATACTTACTTTGGGTTGTAAAATGTGTAGCATCAGTCTCTTTTTGAGAGGATCGTGTTCTGAAACTGATGCTGAAATGAGCATCCTGTATTTTATCAAAGAAAGTTTTCACTTTTGCTTGGATTTACAATATAGTAAATCTGCTTAATGGTCAATATGACGTGGCTCCTTGAATGAAGAAGAAAAAAGTGGATATTAATTAGAAACTGCTAATTATGAGTTCCTTTATGTGAAACTAACCTTGTGGCCTTACAAGGGAAAAATACAGCCTTCTAGTTTGCATTTTTGGTTTTCTAAAAATTTTTTTATCTCCCAAAAAAGGATTCTACAACCAAATTAAAGACAAAGCTGTCCCCGTGACACTCTTACTAAAAGGGGTGAAGGCTATCTTTTTGAAGTGGGAGATACCAAATCTAGTTTCACATAAATTCCACTTCTGCAGGTCACAGTGGAACAGATATTTATTTATCTTGTCAATGTTTATGGCTTTCAGTGTACTCTGGAATCTTTTATTTTTCTTGGCCTCAGAATTATAGACATTCAGTGGTAATTTGTAAGATAGTCTCTAGTGTAGAGGGGGAAGGAAGAGACTATTATAATCCATCTTTATGTTGCTATTGCTGTTGATGCCTCTTGTAAATTTTGAAGTCACTTAACTGCTAGCTAGCTTCCCATAATAAACCAATCTTTCTTTAACATTTCTTAATTTGAGACATACTGTATGTTCTTTCAGTTGCTTTGTCAAGAGGTTAAGCAAATTTTGGGTCTACAGGAAAAAAATCAAGATTATCAAGAATGCAGCAGGTTTTTGGTGTACCATTGGCACTGATGCTGAGTCCTGATTAAGTGAACATACAGTTTTCATCTAGACATAGAAAGAAAGCTTTTCAAAACAGTGGCTGTTCTGGTCTAGCTCCAGAACTGGAGAAAACGGAGCCATGCACTTGAATTGTTTCTAGGATATGTTAGTCTGAGCGTAAATATCATACGCATGTTGCTGCTGCTCTTCTCTTGAGCTCCTGGCATGCTGGATTGGTGTGCCATGGAACTGGTACAGGCTAAGATCTGGAACTAGCTCAGGACTGGGTGGTAGACTAATATCTTTGTTACTGGTATTTTGAATCAACAGGTTTGCTTTTAAAGTTGACCCTAGTTAGCTGTGTCTTAAAGGACATAGTGAGCAAGAAGCTTAATTTATTTACAAAATACAAAGATTGGCAGGATGTTCTTGTAGCTGGAGCTCATGAGTCTGGAGGTCTGTTTCCTGCTGTAGAACACTGAAAGAAGTCTTTTAAATGGGTTCAGCTAGGTTTCAGCTTTTTTTTCTTTGTTGCTGGTGTTTTTCTACAATAGTTATGTAGATTATAATAGTAACTTGGTTTATGCTGTTACATCATTCTGTAATATAATTGTAGTAATTGACTTTTGCAGTTTATCATACCTAGGTTTTACCTAGAGAACTTGTAAAATCACTCAAACTACTGTATTTCTGTTCCAGATAGAATTTGAGAATTTTTTTCATTGTGTAAAAATCATGTTTTTATTTTCATCTCAGAATGCATTTTGAAGACTTCAGATGTGCAGGTTTGGTATGGTTTTAGCCTGCAGAGAGTCTGAAAAGCTATTGGAAAAATACACGTGACAAATACAGGTAGACAAATCGTGATGTGTTGGTCACATTAAACGCTGAATTACTGTAGGCATTCTGAGGAAAACTATAGTTAGCATTTTATCCCAACAACACATTTCTCTCTTTGCTTTTATTTTTATAATCAGTTGTAAGATGGTTATTCACAAACCAGACTTCAGTATGTAGTACTGCAGGGTTTGATTTGCAGATAACTATCTTTTAAACCAGTGAGGATCAGCCTTTCTGGGCAGCCAGATTCCCTTTTCAAAGGAAGATGTATCAAGTATTTTTTACACATGTGCAGATCAACTAAAGAGCACTTGGAGATGGAAGTCTGATAGCAGGTTGCTGTCATCAGGACAGTTCAGCCAGCCAGCATCTTACTCATGAAGGTCTCAGTAACTGGGTTTATGAGCTAAGTAAATTATCTGTCGGGCCACATGTGGACTGCAGGCAATCGGTTGAACATCTCTGTACTAATAACAAATACATTTGGCTTGATTTGGGTAATTAAAATAAATTTTTAAAACATCCTTTTGTAATTAGGTACTTCAAGGTCTAGATTATCTACACAGCAAGTGCAAGATCATTCATACGGATATAAAGCCAGAAAACATTTTGATGTGCGTGGATGATGCCTATGTTCGTAGAATGGCTGCTGAAGCTACTGAGTGGCAGAAAGCTGGTGCTCCTCCCCCCTCTGGCTCAGCAGGTATGATAGTATATTGAAATGCAGTATACTAAAGTTCCATCAATATATTAATGCTAATGATATTATGTTTAATGAAAATTAACGTTTTAAATAATTGTACATGAAAAATGCATGTCTAGTTAATTCTTATTTATGCTCTGGAAACTATCCAGAGCATTTCACTGAGGGAAATGCTTTCTTCTCAGTTTTGCACATTCAGGTTTACAGGGTCTCCAGATACAGAAAGAGATTTATTGATATAAACTCTCCTCCCACTCCACAAGCATTAGTGGCTCTGGTTTAGCCACAGTGGAGCCTTACGTTTCTAATACTGACAATAATTAATAATCTTATCTAAATTATGTGTCTGGTTCCATTACAAGTTCATCAGCATCCTTGTGAAATAATCTGCCTTTTCGTCAGTTACAACTTATTCTTAGATTGCAGTGAAAACTCTTATAGTCCATACCCTTGAAAATGGAATTTATTGTACCTAACTGAATCCCTAACACTGTATGTGGAATGTTTTATGTTGGACTTGCCAGGAGAATAGAAAGGAATTGCACATTATGTTTAGGTAGGAGAAACCAAGGTAAAAAAGTTCACAGCAATCAGTAAAGACAATCAAGGAAGAAGTGTGGCTTTTCTAGTAATCTTCAGTACCATGGTTCCTATTTATTTACCAATCAAGCCCATCAGTTACAGGCAGTGGAGAAATAATTTAATACCTTCGTAATATTGTCAGAAAATATATCACAAATTAAAGTCTTAAGAGGTACAATGAAAATACCTGCTATAACAGGAACAAATACTGTGGTCAAAATCCATAAATATTTCACAGTATTCTATATGTTAAGATGCAAAATCTTACCAATCATGAAGCTATATTACTGGATTTTACATGATGTGTAATCACGTAGCTAAAGACCGTATGTTATTTGTGTGGGAAGTAACTTGATTTTGTTCATGCAGCCTATATGGTGCTTCTTGACATTAAATATTATTTTAAGGAATATATTGATGGAGTTCTTATCACACTTCGTTCTTAGCAAATTGTAATTGAATCTGTGGCCTTCAACACAGGAGCTGAAGATGTGTTTTCTTTACAGCATTTCAAGAACAGGTTCTGCATAACTTTCATTTTCAGATCAGTGTTGGTACTCAGGTTTAAGAATCTTTTTGAAAACCTTGCCCTCTCAGGGGGTATACAAGCAGTTTTTTCCCCCTGAACTTAGCAGCAGAAGCTGAACCCATAGGAGAACTCTGAAGTCTCAACTGTCTCCACTTTTTATTTTGCATTTGTTAATTGCCATATGCTTTCATGTCTGAAGAAGTTCATGAGCTGGTCTCCTCCCCCGTTCAGTTCCTCTTTCTCACTTCCACTTTGCCTCTGTCTTCCACATTTGGTTACTTTTATTGGGTTTGATTATTTGGGGGGAGGAGGGCGGTGTAGGAGATGTTGTGTGGCTTGTATTGCTATTCTGTGCATTTTCACAGTTAGTACTGTTATCTCATCAGACCTAGTCAGTGACGGAATCCTTCTGAGAGATGCTTAGCAAGAAGTCCGTGCTGGAGATGCTTTTTCTGTGGTGGTGTGTTTTTTGCCAGAGGCACTTCTTCATGCCTCCAGTCCTGGCAATCAAACTGCCTTGTTTCAGAGTGGAGGAAATATGAATATTTGACTTTTCTGCTGAGTGCAATACAGAAGTCATCTTCATTGATATTCCCTGAACTATCAAAAAATCTACCTATACCTGCTCAGTCAGCTGACTACATACATTTCATATGTGAGAACTCTGCTGTAATTTCATGTTTTCTGTCCACTTCTCACTGATTCAGACTTTCCTTTCTAACTTTCATTAACTCTCCACCAACCACAACAGTGAAATTCATGCTGATTCCTTCCAATTCCAGATGCTCTAATGGAGACAGCAAATGATTTCAGGCAGCAGGTACCTGTAAAGAGAAAAAAACAATTACTTAAAAAAAAATAGTAATCACTGTCTTATATTTATTTAAGTCTATTTTTACACAGTTTCTGACTTTCTGCCTTTTTAGAGTTCGTTTTGTATAAATAATCTTTTATTTTCTTCTTTTTAGTGAGTACAGCTCCACAACAAAAGCCTGTAAGTATTGTTATGTAATTCAAATTAACTTTCTTATTTTCTGTGTTTAGTTGTTATTAGGCTGTTGGTAGTCTCTACCCTGTTTATAAGCTTCCTTTGAATAAAGCTTTTCTCTTTCAAAGAATACTTTTCTTCTAATGTCTTTGGCCTTGCCAGGTTTAGGCACAGTATTTCTCTGATGGAAACTCTGATAGACTTGCAATCCTAAAGCTATGTCAGAGACAGTTAAGCATTGCCATTTCATCTCTCAAGGAATAATCCATTCTGTTCAGATCCTGAAAAAAATGGGTGCACGCACTAAATACCATGTATCGCAGATAGCTTAAGGACTTCAAGGCTTTAATAAAAAAGGCCTTAAAGGAGAGGGGGCTTTATGAGACTTGGAAGATATTTTTGCCATATACATACAGCAAATAACTACTGAAATATCTAAGGTCAGACCTGTTTTCTCTGTGTACAGAATGTATGCAGGCATACAACATGGTTGAAAAATAATAGGATTGTCAAATTAACTGTCTCGTTTTAACTGTCCTGTAGCTTCTTTTGAAGATAACGGGATTTACAGATAAACCTTTGAGGAAATAATATTTTCCTTTGTTTCTTGTACTTTATTTTTGAATTATTAGGGTGATACCTAAACAATGAATGAGAACTAGACAGATCTCATCTATCAATTAGTAAAAATAGAAGTCAGAATTATTTTAAAATACGAGAAAGTGTTCCAGTCCTAGCTCAGATGTGTTAATTTTTCTTTTGCTTGTTACTGTACCTGAGTGCTTCAGTCCTTATGTTATATAAAATGTGAAACTTTTCATAATGCCCATCTGTTGTTTGTGATTCACATGTTTTGGGCCAGAAGTGAATAATAACAATTCTTTCCTTTCACAGGGAAATAGGTGAACAACACAGGATTTATTTGAAATCCTTTACCATTTTCAGTCTCTGTAGTTTTCTTGTATCATTTTTCTCAGCGTACTTTTGCTGGTCATTTTCTTCATTGTACAGAGAGAAATCGTGTGAAATTTATATGTAAATAATTAGGTACAATAGCAGATTGTATTTCACATTCATCATCATCAGCTAATCTAGATTGAAGTTCAGTATTACCATACCTAGTTGAGGTTATAGGATCATAGGAATTTTACTGTGGTATCTTAGATGTATTTTGCTCTTGTATCTAATAAACAGCCACATTAAACAATGTATAACTATGTAACATTTCAGTTGCTTTTTTATCTCATATAACCCTACATAATTTTTTATTTGACTTTAAATGGAAAAAACTGTATATTTACTATATTAATTGCCATTATTAATATTAAAGATATGTACTCTATTAATTGCCCATACTAATATAAGAAAGTAAAAATAATAAAAAGTAATCATACTGCAAGTGAATTTGCTGTGAGATGCCTTGAGAATAATTGTTTAGGGGTTTTTTTGTTTGTTTTCTTTTGTTTGCATTAATATTTCAGGTTGGAAAAATATCCAAAAACAAAAAGAAAAAACTGAAGAAAAAACAGAAGAGGCAAGCAGAACTGTTAGAGAAACGCCTGCAGGAAATAGAAGAACTAGAGCGAGAAGCTGAAAGGAAAAAAATAGAAGAAAATGTAACCTCATCTGTACCATCAAATGAACAAGAAGATGAGTACCACCCAGAGGTGAAACTAAAAACAGCTGATATAGAAGAGGTAGTAGATGAAGAACCGGGAAATGATGATGGTTAGTATTACCCGCTTTTATTGATCCTGAATTTACTGTTTCAGAGTAAGTGCAGCATTGCATCTGGTGCATTGAACAAAATCTCTGAACTGTCCTAAATCATTAAGTTTCATTTTCTCCTGTAGGTAAAATCATAACTAGAAAGTGTAAAAAGTAAGAGTCAAACCTGCTATAGAAGTGAAGAAAAACATCAATAGCAATGTAGCTATCAAATCCCACAAAAGAGCACACAGACAATTCAGTAGAACAGCCAGTTGTCATGCCACATTAGGTGGCATAACTGAGTGTCTTGGCGAGATAGAAGAAAAATAACATGAATTTGTATTTTGTAACATCAGTGTAGTTAAGAATCATCATTGCTTTCGCCTAGTCACAATATTTGTTGTAATGATCTATCTAGTAATAATAACTGCAGTTCCTTCACTAAAATTGTTACGATGCCTTGTTAAAATTCTTGTTTAGTCCCAGTGATTTGGAGTGTGATTGTTACGGTCCAGCTCCATTCTGGCTTCCCTGGTTTTCTTGTCAACTCTTGCTCATTCTGTATAAGTGTAACTGCTGAGACTTGTCTTCTAGTTTGGTTTAGTTTTGTTGTGCTCTTACTGTGAATTTTCTTATTTCTGTTACGACTCCCTGTTTGACACAGATTGAGTTACAGATTTGTAAAGCTTGATTTCAAGACTTCATGTATCTTCCCTCCCTGGTGCCAGACTCTTTTGAGTGGTGTCCAGCGACAGGATGAGGAGCAATGGCTGTAAACTAAAACTCAAGAAGTTTCACCTCAGCATGAGGACGAACTTCTTTATGTTGAGGGTGGCACAGCACCGGAACAGGCTGCCCAGGGGGCTTGTAAAGGCTCCTTCTCTGGAGACATTCAAAACCTGCCTGGATGTGTTCCTGTGTAACCTACTCTGGGTGGCCCTAGATGGGGGGTTGGACTGGATGATCTCCAGAGGTCCCTTCCAACCCTAATAATTCTGTGATAACATTCTAATCTTCTGAATTGTTCCCTCCTGAACCACTTCCCGTTGTTTATTTTTTCCAAGAGCCTTATTAGTTCTATCTTTTGGCTTTAGGTTAAATTTCAAGGTCTTTGCATATTTCAGTGGTACTCAGTGTTTCCTTGTGTGATACCAGAAGTCAAGTAGTTACTGAAGAGCTAAAAATTACAAATGCCTAATTTCAACATGATACATTGATGTATGATCTAATGTGTTGCTCGCTGAAATTTTTCAGGTGAAGCAGACGATCAGGATGAAAAAGAAGACACAGAGAAAGAAAACACTGAGAAAGATGACGATGTTGAGCAGGAACTTGTCAACACTGACCCTACAGACCCTAAGTGGATAGAATCCCCCAAAACAAACGGCCATATTGTGAACGGCCCGTTCCTGTTGGAACAACAGATTGAAGATGAAGACGAGGAAGAGGAAGAATGTCCAAATGCAGAGGAGTATAGTCTTGATGAGCCAAATGCAAAAAGCGATTATTCTTATAGCAGCTCCTATGAACAGTTTAATGGTGAATTGCCAAATGGACGTCATAAAATTCCTGAGTCACAGTTCTCTGAATTTTCAGCTTCAGTGTTCTCTGGGGCTCTAGAGTCTGTAGCTTGTGGTTCTGCTGTTTCTGAAGGATCAACTGTAACCGAAAGAGAGGAGAGCAGCCCATCTCACGACAGGAGCAGAACAGTTTCAGCTTCAAGCACTGGGGATTTGCCAAAAAGTAAGTTTTCCTTTTAGTGGCATATAACACGCTTGAAGTCTCTCGCCAGCTGTAGGTGATGTCTTGTGTAGAATGAGTAGTGGGGCTAAACCTTAGGTATATGTTTGGTCTGTGTTCAGTGGCACGTATATGCAGATTTTACTTTTGTTTTGGAGTTTTTTGGTGAAAATTCAGTGTCACTCACTTTCCATAACACAAAGGGACCTTTCAATAACAGCAGACAAAAACTCTGTCACACCATGTCCCTGACTTTGCATACTACGTCTAGCACTTCTCAGTGATGTTGACATTTCTCTACCTACAGGTGAAGTGTTAAAAATGTTTTGACTTTCTGGGTTGGTGCTGATCCTCCCAAGGTCCTGGCCTGCTTTGTGCTTGAATCTGAAGAGTGCCCACTGAAAAAGGTGGTTCCAGTGTGCCAGCCTCTGCAGTCAGAAAAATCTGTGCAGACTGTCCCCAAATGCTCTCTTCCTTAGGTGCTCCCAAACTTGGGGAAAGAGGTGGGATATGGGGTCAAACTAACCAGGCTGGGATTGGATTACAGCTGCTGGCCACTACTGGGAACCCTCTTTTCATTTCTGGCCAGTGTCATCTTGTCAGTTTTGTCTACACTGAACATTTTGCTCATTGAATCATACATTGTGTGAATGCAAAATCTCAATTATTAGTATTTTAAATTTAGTATTTCATCTTAGAACACTTTTTGCAGAGCAGATATCTAGAAATTTTCAATGAGTTTGGTGAATTTTGACCTCCTAGGACCAGGTTTCAAGGAAAAGCAGGTGTATTAGTTCTGTGTGGCTTTTAGAAATGGAGGGAAAACTGCTTCGAGTTGATGGAAGACTTGTGTTTAGTAACATGGGTGATGTGTATTACATTAATAAAAAAAAGGCAGGTAAGTGGAATGGAAAGATAGTGGTTAGGTTAAGAAAAAAATGTAACAGTCTCATTAAAGGCAGTATCTTAAGCTAAGCTTACTTTAAGAAAATTGGATGATTTTTCTTGCATTCAAACCTTGGAGTTTGATAGATGCATGTAGAAGACAATGCAAAAGCATTCTTGTTAAATTCAAACAAATCTACCATCTTAAGAGAGGAAAACAGAACTGTATTTTTTTTTTCCTGCGCTAGAACTTGTTTTTATGGGTGTTAGATAAGTTATTGTAGATTAAATATTCACATTGACAGGTTGGTCTGCACAGGAAAGAGGAAAGGAAGTTCATAGTTGCAGGTAGGCATTCTGCCAGAAGCTGACTGTGAGATCACATAACCTGACTTCCTTTTATAACAAGCCAATAATACACCAACTGTTAAGGCCAGTAACTTTTGTGTTTGGCTTAAAACATGTTTTCCAAAAAGATATCTGCTCTTGATTTGGACAAATAAAATAATTAAAAAATCTAGTGTGGTTGAAGTGTGTTTCACTGATCAATACTCAGAATTGTTTCAGAAGAGTCATTGCAAGTTTGGATTTGCCTGGCTGCAGCTTCTAACTATAAATACTTGTTACATCTTTTCTCAGTCACATTAAAAAATCTTGTAATGTGCTGTGTTTTAATTCATTGATGGTTCTTTTCTAACAGTTCCCTTCTTAATCTTTTATTAAAACTCAACAAGAGGAAAGCTTTGTCTCTGCAAGGCATATTGCTAACCCTCAACTCATTACTGCATTTCTGTATTCAGCGTGGTTTTGGACATTTGAATTCTAGCCAGCAGAACTGCTCAGATCCAAAACTTTTGCCTGTAAACCCTGTTTACTGAAGATATGGAAGTTGATATCTTGGTGTCATTGCAAAGAGCTGGATTTTTGCCATTGAATTAAATAGCTCCAGGGTATTACACATAGATTTTATTTATAGTGCCAGTGATAAATGATAAATATATGGGTTTTAACATTAATAAGGAAAATACTGAGAGACTAGATCTGTAAGGGGATAGAAGAAAATGAGATAGCTTAGGGAGAAGATCACTAAGCCTGCCATCAACATTGTCCCAGATGAAGTTACTAAATATAAGTAGAGATGTATTGAAAAATAGTCAGTGTATTTCTTGGTTTAAGACTTTAGAAGAGCAATTCACACAGTTATTGCAGAGTCTGACAGGTAAGGTAATCTGCAGGTAGGCAAGAAATGTGAAATAAAATACAGCTGAGCAGAGCTGTATTTCTGGAAAATGTCAAGATCCAGGCAGGTTAAGTCTTCCAGTCCATCTCCTTACACTCAGTAGTCCCTGAAATGATATACAAGAGGTTCCTAGGTGCCTGGTAGCCTCTTTCTCTGTGCTGCTGGCAGTATATGGGCAGAAAGCCTGTACTGCTGTTTTCCTGGCGTGATGTGTGAAATCCTCATGCCTCCAGGGAGTAAAGCTGGTTTTGTCATCATGGGAGCAATGTATCTCCATAGCTGGAGAAACAAACCTACTTAATTCCTCCTTGATATTATCTCATCAGGAGCAACTTACAGACCTTTTCTGCAAAGAAAGAAGGAGTAAATTCAGCCGTAGCTGAAGCAAGAATTTACTACTTCTGCAGAAGAAGAAAAAGCTGAATGTTGTTAATATTAATGGCATCAATAATAATGTTGGGTTCAACAGTAATAAAACAGATTAGAGTATTTCAAAAGAAGAAAGATAAGAGTTGCAGCCTATTCAGTATTTTTAAATGGCGCTACTTTTCCCCCATAACTTTAGTGCTCTTTTTTTGTATAGAGTTGGACTTTATTTGTTCCTCTCTCTCTAGGCATTGCTATACATTATTAAGTAACATGATCTCTAATTTTTTGGAGATAATTGCTTCATTCAGTGCATAGACCACGTTGTGTTCAGTGGATAAGCAGCTCTTAAGTTCTTACCTTTTTCCAGTTTTCAGTGCGTGACCAAATGCCCTTAAGATAGATCTATTAATTTCCTCCTGACTCTCCTCCTCATTCCAGTGTTGGAATGTTTACTAAGTATACTATCATGCTGAGACTGTGAGAAGAGGAGGTGATACTTCTCAGTTTTACAGAACTAGGACACACAGAAGTGGAAACCAGAAATGCTTACTGATTTTGTGCTCAGGTTGAGCTCCTTTGGATGCTTTTTTTGAGGGTACTTACTAAAAAGTGTGCTCCTCTTGACTTCACATTCAGTTGTGAATGACCCATGTTTGTCAGATTTAGAATCCAAGGTCTCATTCATTTCTCAGAAAATAAGGGACATAAACTTAATGAGCTCCTGAGAAAAACACAAAAGTGTAGGCTTTTGCCTGTTACCTTGTCAGGTCCCTCTGCTAGAAGCAGGTTGAAGAAAGCTGTTTTCTAATATATTCAGACGTTTTACTGATGAGTTCCCCACCCCTTCATTCCACTTTATTTACTGCAGTTCTTCACCTTCCGAAAGCTGTGTGGGAAGGATTTATCTAGCACTTTATTTTTGCCAGGGCTAGTGAATTGAGAAAGGTCCTGTTATTTCTTGAATAATGCATGTGATTGTGTTTAAAAAAACTTAGACTGTATTAAGCAGCATGCTTGTAAGGGAAGGTTTTAAGATTACTTAATACTTATATCCCCATTGGAGTCCCAGGTGCCTTTTGGATCTAGTACCTCTTTCTTATCTTACCAACAGTTTCCAATTCAGTCTTCATAGCTCTGGGACAAGGTAACTGAGATGAATCCTCTGCTGCTATATGATCTGTGATACCTGGTTCTGTCTTCCACGTTCAAGTCAATCTGCTTTCTTTCCAATTGAGTTTAGGAGCTGGCAGGTGGTATGTCAAATAAAAAAGAAAAGCCATGGTCCCCACTGTCCTATGTTAGGATCATCAGTGTCCCAAGAGCCTCTATAGATGGCAGGATTAATGAGATTAAAGTTCTGCCTTTGTAGTTTGGATCATACTCAACGCAAATAGGACCTTCCGAGAATTTTGATTCAACACTGAGTTATCTGTGAAATGGATGACAGTCCCCCAGGCTCTTAAGTCAGCCAGGTTTTGGTGACTTCTTCCCTTTGGGACAGATTTTCTAAACAAGAAAAGATCCAGCCAAACCTTAGCCAGAAATGGAAGCGCAGGATTTATTTTCTCAAGCAAACTGTTCTAAGAACAACAACGCTTTCATGTGGACTTCTTGGAGTTTGAGTTTTAACATTTTCTGTCCTCATCTGTTCTTGGAAGCATATGGACTGTTTTTGCTTAGAAGCTCTTCTGGATAGTCTAATTATAGTCATTTGGCAGTTCAAGAATGCAAAAAATTTGCACTTGAAATGTGTAAGGATATTTAGAAATCAAGGTAAGAAATCCTATTTATGTTGCCTTAATTTCTTGTAACATTCAGCAAATGATTTTGATGTCTTCCATGTATTACAAAACTGGATAAAGTGTCAAGGCAGAACTGCTTAGAGGTAATGAATACTGTGCTTAAAATACTAACTGTTCTGCATTTTGCTTGTGTTAGCAAAAACTCGTGCTGCTGACTTACTGGTGAATCCACTGGACCCAAGAAATGCAGATAAAATTAGAGTTAAAATTGCTGACCTGGGGAATGCCTGCTGGGTAGTAAGTATCACTACATCATTTTTGCTCTTTAGCCTTCACTGTTTAGAACAGGCCTTTTTATTGTTGTTTTTTCCCATTAATGTGGTTCTTTCTTTTTTAGCATAAACACTTCACAGAAGACATCCAGACAAGACAATATAGATCCATAGAGGTTTTAATAGGAGCAGGTTACAGTACACCTGCTGATATCTGGAGTACAGCATGTATGGTAAGAACAATACAATGTGTATTTTACAAGAGTAAACCTCCTAATTTTTTTATTTACTTGAGGAAACCTGATGAAGATGGTTTTGACATTTTGACACAAATACTTTATCATAAATTATGTCCTGTCAGGTAGCTACTGATGATTTTTCCCCTTTTATTTCAATTTCTTAAGTATTCTTAATCAAAAGGAAGTATTTTGGAGAACATTTCTTATTTTCATTTGATGCATTTCAAACCTGCAGTCAAAAACATGCAAGTTTTTTAGGGAAATACGTGTATATTTTAAATTACAAAGTCTAACTGAAATAGTACAACTGCATGTTTCCTTCCTATCTTAGAATCTATACAACTGTTTGCTGTGTTTCCGTTCCTTTTTCTTGCATAAAGTAGCAAAACAGCGAAATACTTCAAATTCTTGCCAAGTGCAGTGAAAACATTCATCAGATTAGGCTTGCAAATCACAACTTTAGGTTCTAAACTTCAAAGAGAAGGATTTAGCTTATTAGTAAAATACGTGGTAACAATCTGTAGAATTAGTTTTAACACAGTTAAACTGAAATTATACATTTTTTGAAACCTTTTAAGAATAGAAAAAGTAAAAACTTCATCATTCAACTTTCTGAAACAATTATTCTGTTTGTAATACCTCTTTTAGGAGAAATAAGCTACATGCATCTTCTCATGAAAGATGGTTTTGAAAATAAGTTTAGAAGTATCTTTGTCTATTTTAAAGGTGAAAACTTATTCAAATCTTTGTATTTTACAAATACATGTCTGAAAAGAGTAAGTGTGTGAGGAGGAGGAGAGGACTCAAATACTAGACACAGTTTGCAGGCGTGGGTGATGAGAAGAATTGCAAAGCTCAGAGGGAGAGGAGGAGGATTGAAAGGAACATAAAATCCTACAGATATTATAAGCTCAGCAGGCCATGTGCTGAAAGTAACTAACCCATAAGTAAAATTGCAAATCTGTTTTCTCTGGAGTTTAATACTAGCTTTTGCTTTAATACAGAGAAAAGAACATCCGTTTCCAAATTTACACTTCCATTTGAGGCAAAATGTAGAATTTTTCCATTACATTGAAAACAAAGCATAGAAAATATTCGTCAGTTTTGATCCTTAATTTTTTGAATTATTCTTCTCTTAACTAACTGCAAAATTATTATTAGAGACATTTTGTTTCTTTTACCTGATATTTCATAAACCTCAGTTGAACTTCATACATTTTTAAGGTATTTAATGCCTTATATTCATCTTTCTTTAAGGTTGTACCTGCCATGTGCTAATTTTATATGCAGTCATGTAGCTAAAGCCACATTAAAAAGGCCAGAGTCTATCTAGGATTGTGTTTAAAGTGGAGCACTTAATAGCAATATCACATCTAGGGAATATAGTATTTTTACAATACTTGGGATCATCCAGCCCCTTACAGTTCAGTTCTTTTCCATGTTATATAAACGTTCCTCATGGGAGTCCTTTCAACCCCTAAAGCATCTATCTCTGCCAGTGGGGGTATCTGAATTCTGATTCACAGGTATTTATTGAATTGCAGTATTTTAATGAGAAAATTGTACTTCTGCTTCTTTGTTACATAAGCTTCAACAGAAGTAAAGCATTTGAGGTAGAAACACTGGAAATCTATTTTCTGCCACAGACCTTGGTCTTTTGCTCTTAGAAAATGCTTTAGAAATTTTATAATCTTACAGCACTGACATAAAATTGTTCATTCAGTTGTCATCATTGTATAGTTGTGTTCAAAAACCAGAGATCAGTTTCTTAAGCTCATCCCCAAAATTTATCATTTCAAAACCCCTCAGGATTTGCTTTCATTCCTGTGTGCTTGAGAAAATGGGTCAGTGCACTGTTACTGCTAATCCTGTATCAGATGGAAAACAGCTCTGAGGTAGGGATTGACTTGAAGACCTTAAAACAGTTCTTTCTGCAGAAGACTTGTAACAAAGGTTAAGACCCGGGGAAACATTCCTGATGTGGAATTTCAAACTCCCAACTAACTTAAGGCTGTCTTCAGAAATTATGATTTTATTCTCTCCAATCCCTAAAGCAGCCAAGAATTGTGAAGTACCAAAGTGGTTTAATGCCATTGTTTTCTCAAGTTTGGATTCTTTGTTGTACCTGGATGTGGTTCAAAAAATGCCCTTCTAGGTTATCTTGCTCTTGTTTCATATTTAATTCACTTTCTCCCATAAGATTCACCGTTAGGTGTGTTTTCAAAAGGAGCAGGAAGGAGTGTCTGTGCATCTGCTGGAGCAGGAGCTGGAGGGGTGGTTTATTTTCAGCCAAAACAGAGGTCAGATTACCATTAGCCATGTTGTCCAAGTCTCTCAAGGGACAGCAGGGAGACTTCTTTGTCATCTTGCTTTGTTTGCACAGTAAGTTCATAGTCATTAAGGTCATTTTTGGAAGCAGTAGTATGTGAAATGAGTGGTCCAGCAGTACTGCTATGACTCTTTTCTTGCCAAATTTCCATCCTTCCATAGTATGTCCAGTGTGACAATATTAAGCACAAATGAAGTGAAGTCCTGCCAGCTGATTGATTGCATGTGGTATTTATCATTTCCTCCTTTTTAATTAAAGGGGGGGGGGAGAGAAAGAAAAGTCTATCATTTAGTAGCTCTGTGTGAAGACAGGCTGAGAAAGTTGGGGCTGTTCAGCCTGGAAAAGAGAAGGCTGCATGGAGACCTCATAGCAGCCTTTCAATATCTGAAGGGGGCCTACAAGGATGCTGGGGAGGGACTCTTCATTAGGGACTGTAGTGGTAGGACAAGGGATAATGGCTTTAAACTTAAACAGGGGAAGTTTAGGTTAGATCTAAGGAAGAAGTTCTTCACAGTGAGGGTGGTGAGGCACTGGAATAGGTTGCCCAAGGAAGTTGTGAATGCTCCAACCCTGGAGGTGTTTAAGGCCAGGCTGGACAGAGCTTTGGGCGACATAGTTTAGTGTGTGGTGTCCCTGCTCATGGCAGGGGGGGTGGAACTAGATCGTCTGAAGGTCCTTTCCAACCCTAACTATTCTATGATTCTATCATCTAAGGTTGAGGTTGTGTTCAGGGTGGGTAAGTAATGGCTCTGATGAGATCCACCTGTCAGAAGTACTACCTTTGTGAATGGTTAGGCAAGGGGCCATGTGGCTTTGCAGTGGGAGCTGTGTCACATAGTTACAGATCCTGACCTTCATTCTGATCATGATTTTGTCCTTAAATGAACTTTCTTGTCTCAGTTTCTCCACTGGATGATAATGCACATACTGCAACTAATACGAATGATGTAAATTAATGTGAAGGCAAAGTGTAGTAAGGTAGTATCAAAGCAAAGAAGAGATGTTATGCTTTGAAAACATTTGCTCACAAGTCACTGAGCTAGTTCTCTGCACCTGCTCTGAAAGAGGGTTCAAAATATTTTGACCTCATTTGGATGGAATTGTCTGCAAATACATCTTGTAGCTCTCTATACCCACAACTTTAATATCTGAGATTTCTGACCAGTATTCTCAGAGGCTGATCCAGGTGTGCTCCTCACTCCTCCATCTGTGTAGCTCTTGCTGACAGAAGATGTGATGCTTCAGAGTGGTGGCCAGGTTCTTCAGCTCAGTGGGCGTTGTTTGTTTCACAGCGTGGCTGCCAAACTCTTCTAAAAGGGCTTGCTCAGAAGTAGTCCGGAACACTGCTTAGTAGTAAAGAGCACACATGAAGACTGCTTAGCTTGCAAAATTGAAGAGACTCTCCATGTGTTACATATCCACTGCTGTGTCAGATTCTAAATCATGTCTCCATTAAAAAAAAAAATAATAAAAACCAGGCCTTTCTTTGAATTAATTTATGTGTACATAAACCACATCAATCTTTCCATGTCTCCTGGATTTTGTGATGGACCACTTGGAGCGCTTGGTACCAGGATTCACTTGGGATCTTAACATGGTCTTGTGCTTTATGAATCTCTGTTTGAGCTTAAGGTTTTTCACTGCCTTTTGCTTGCTGATGAAATAATCTTGCTCACTGGAAACAGCATTGGCAGACTGTGAGAGTAGCAGAGCTATTGGGTTGGACTTGATGATCTCGAAGGTCTTTTCCAACCTAGTTGATCTTATAATTTTATGATTCTTGTATTGGCTTATGTTTATGGCCAATGTTTATGGCTTGTGTTAAGTCATGTACAGAGGTTATATCTTATTACAGCAGCAGCAGACTGTATTTTTTGCATCATACCATTCACTCATCAGTTTCACTTAGTCTTTAGTAATAAGGATGGAGATGATGATGATTTGAAACAAAAGCCGCTGATAACAGTGCCCTGAGCATTCAAAGCATCTGTGTTCATGTGTGCACAGCAACTTCCAGAATACCCTCTTATGAATCTGGTTTTTAGGATATTATGTGTTGTGTCTACATGGAATGCTCTCCTCACCTGGGCTCTGGTAACATGAGTTGGCTTCATCTAGCCATGGTTTTGGTGCATCTTCCAGGAAAGAATGCTCGTGATTTACTTGTGTTGTCCTTCGTATGGGAGTAGGCAGGGATTCTGATCAGGATTGCGTGTACTGGAAGTGTACGTAGAGAGAGACATGTAAGGACTCCAGCCAATTAGCAAAAGAGAGAGAAGTAACTCAGTGCTAATAACCTTACAATTCTTTCTTTTGGTGAGTAAGTAACAGTGTAAGTAACAGCCTGTGAGGTGAACCTTCTCATTTTAGATGGTTTGGTGTGGGCAAGTTCAGACCTCTTTGAGTCAGATTTAAAGGAGGAGAGTGAGTATCCGCAGGCCAGTACTGGTCCTCTGCTCGGGTGACCAGAGTCTCAGAGTCTTTAAGAAAACAAAAAAGGCAGGGGAAAAAAAGAGGATGCTGCTTATCTGTGGAGGCTGATAATCAGTGCACACATGATGTGCTGTGAGACTAATGAAAGAAGTGAGATTCCAGTGGGCTTTTCCAGACTATGATGGAGGACCGAGTTCACTTGTTCTGTGCTCAGCAAAGAATGCAGCGTAGC